CCTGGAGTTGAATTATGAAATATATGGTAGAGCTGTCTGATGCTCACTCATATGTAGTTCTTCTCAATTCCTGAGCACATGGGAGAACTAAACTTCTCAGCCCTTTTGCAGTTAGATTGATCATGTGACTAGTTCCAGCCAATAAAATGTGAGCAGAGGTGATATGTGCCACTTCTAGGTCAAAGTATTTACAAGTCAGCATGCCATCTCTATGATCTCTCTTCCCCTGCTAGGGTGACACTGGAAGCCACATGTAGAGATGGTAATGTCACAAGATGGAGGGACCCTGGATTCCTGAGTCACTGATTGGAAGAGACCTCTCTGTATATACACATCAGAACTTTCATTAGCAAGAAATAAACTTGTATTAAATCACTGAGATCATAGTTTCCTTTATTCTTACATCAGAAATTATGATTAAGTGACTGACCCAAAAATGTAGTACTGAATAAGCAAATTCTTTTTTCCACTTTAATTTCTTACTATAACTATATCTATATCTATATGATTTTTTAATAAAATCTCTTCCATCTCTTAAGTTTTAAATGTTTCCTAAATATATTTTTGGTCTTAAATACCACTCTGATTTGTCAACTGTACTCTGTGCTTATTAGCTGTGTGACCTTTGACAAGTTTCTTAACCTCTCTGAACCTCTGCCTCTTCATCTGTAAAATGGGAAAAATAGCATCTTCCTTGCAGAATTGTAGTAGGGATTAGAAATAAAACATGTAAGCCACAGTGCCTGGCACACAGAACTCAATAAATAATAGCTATCATTATTTCTCTTCACAGGTACAGATTATAAGCTTCTAGAATGCAGAAATCAGGGTATGTCCTGATTTCTTTCTGCCCTCTACTCTCACTTCTACCACAATGCCTAATACTCATATAAACGAACAAATACTTGCCAAACATTATTACAAAGAAGATGTAGAATAAAACATATATCAAATTATTTAAAATCAATCCATCAAAGCACTTTTTAACGCTACCATTGTCTTTTAAAAATTCCCAGCCTGAGTCAAAGCAAACTGCTCCCTTTCTTGCTATCACCACCACACACACACACACACACACACACACACACACACACACAGAAGAATTGGTCTCAAATGGAAAATGAAATTTGCTTATTCAACAAGGGTCCTAGACATCATAGTTTACCTAAAAGGAGCACTAGAGTTTAGATAAATTTTCCTTCACGAAATTTTCTTGGTGAAAGTACTCTGAAATCACTTATTCTTATAAGCAGTTGGCAATGAAATGGCTAAAGATCATAGAAGATCATTCAGTTTCATTTACATCTGGTTGGTATACAATATGCAATGTAAACACTGACTTCCAAGACAAGGCAAGCAGCTCAACCAAAATCAGTGGGAATAGTCTTCACATTTAGTTTCTAGTAAGTTTCTTTACTTTCTCATCTACTTCAAAATAAAGCCCAAAATACAATAGCTTCCTTTCACAAGGCTCTTTATCGACAATACAAACACAACTGATAACACATCCCCCAAATAGCATCATGGTTCCGTTGACATTGGACCACGTCCACACACTCTTCTGTGACTAATGGAATATTTCTACATGGTGTGAGAAATATTTACATCAGTGGCAATCTTTCAGTGAAAAAGCATGTACCTCACATGGGATTATGGAGTGATAGCTGCAGCTGTTTGCTTTTCCTCCAGAAGCACCCCTGACTATTTGAGGGCAAATCAAATATTCAACAATACCGAATGCCGAGACTTCAACCATGGGAAAAAAAAACACCAAAGACTCTACAAGATCCTTCACTCAGTAACTTTGTTCACTATTTTAAGCCACATGACACAGGAAGCTAAGGAAGATAATTTTAAGATTTTTTATTATTATTATTATTACAAGGATGTTGAAAGTTTGATTGCAAAGCTACCAGAATCCAAAAAATACCACAGACTTTTAAAGGCAAGGAACTTATCCTGTCTTGCTCTGGTCATTTCCTGATTTAAAAGAATATAGCAGACACTCAGAAATGACCGATGCCAGGAGGGGCCGGGCTGCTAGTGCAACTTGTGTGCCCTAGTATACAAGAGCTGCTCTCTGCAACTCTGCAGGGAGCTAGTCCCTGTTTCCCAGCCTTTTGTGCCTCTTCTCCCAATGTCTAACACCTGAAAGATGAGATAATATCTAATGAGATGAACAAAGGACACTCAGATGTTTTTAAAAAGCTTTGAGTGAGTCACTGTCTTAAGCAATGGAACTACTGAGAATTGGAAGGAAGGCCCCACAGAGTCTTCTCTGAGAATGTACAGGTAATGGTTAAGGATCCAGGTCCTGCAGCCAGACAGCTTGGGTTGAGTCCCATCTCTCCACTTATTGCATAATGACCATGAGCACATTTACACTCTTTGTGCCCCAGTTTCCTCATTTACAAAACAGAGATGACAATAACAGTACCTATCATATAGGGCTTTTGTGAAGATTCAATGAGTATATATATATATCACTTAGAATGATACCCAGCACATAGTAAGTGCTCATCAAATACATATTTTTAAAATATTATTATTTAGAGATGAAATCTTAACTTCAGGTAGCTGCATTTGTCCCAAGGGCAACTAAACAGGCAGTAGACTAAAGGTATTATTCTGCTACCACGATCGCTCCTCTTTAAAAAATTAGAAACCACACATTCTCCCCTTTGCTATTGCCTTTTGCTGGCCCGGCTGGGCTTAGAAGTGGGGAGCCAATGACCAACATCTCCAGCACAGAGGCACAGCTCGTAAATGCTGAAGAAACTGACCTGAGCCTAATAAAAATACACATTACATATTCTGGGTCAAAATTTGGAGAGAAGACCCACAAATATATCATCAATTGCTATTCTACAAAGATCCCAAGGCAATTAAACGGACACAAGATCATCTTCTCAACAAATGGTGCTGAGGCCAGGCTCGGTGGCTCACGCCTGTAATCCTAGCTCTCTGGAAGACCAAGGCAGGAGGATCGCTTCAGGTCAGGAGTTTGAGACCAGCCTGAGCAACATAGGTAGACCCCATCTCTACTAAAAATAGAAAAATTAGCTGTAGTCCCTGCTACTCGGGAGGCTGAGGCAGGAGGATCACTTGAGCCCAGGAGTTTGAGGTTGCTGTGAGCTAGGCTGACAGTACCCTAGTCTGGGCAACAGAGCAAGACTCTGGCTCAAAACAAAAACAAAAACACCCAAATGGTGCTAGAACAACTGATATCCAGCTATACTGGATGGATATCATTGTAGCAAAAAAGGTCCTCAACCCTTATTTCATACCATATATGTAAAATTATCTTAAAATGGATCAGAAACCTACATGAAAGAGGTAAATCTGTTAAATATTTAAAGTAAAAAACAGCAATTAAAAAAAATGAGAATATCGTGTGGCATTGGGTTAAGGAAAGACTTCCTAAACGGTACAAAAAAAGCATAAACTATAAGAGACAAAATTGAGAAGGTGAACAACAGATTAAATATTGTGGCTCTTGGAAAGATACAGTTAAAAAAAACAAAAAGGCTAATGGACTACAAAATATGTAACTGATCTATTCACATTATATAAAGAACCCTTATAACTTAATAAAAAGAAGACAAGCAACTCAATCTAAAAATTGGGCAAACGATTTGAATAGACACTTCACAAAAGAAGTTATAGGAAGGGTCAGATCAGTACATGAAAGGATGCTCAACATCACTAGACACAGAGAAATGCAAATTCAAACCACAGTGAGACACTGCCTCACATGCACTATAGTAGCTAAAGTTAGAAAGACTGAAAATACCAAGTTTTGGCAAAAAATGTGGAAAACAGGAAATCCTGAAACATTGCTGGTAGGAATGAAAATGGTACAGCCACTTTGAAGCACTGTATGGTAGTATCTTATAAAGTTAAGCATAGATTGACCACATGGAGCAGCAATCTCAGCCTTAAGTATTTACCCAGGAGCAATGAAAACATAAGTCCACATTAAAATATATACATGACTGCTTACATACATAGCAGCATTATTCATAATAGCCAAAAACTGGGAGCAATCAAATGTCCATCAACTGGTGAATAGATAAATTGCAATATACACTTACTGTGGAATATTACTCAGCAATTTTAAAAGTCAAACTATTAATACAAGAAACAGCATAAATGAATCTCAAAAACATGCTAAGCAAAAGAAGACAACATAGGTGATTACATACTCTATCATTCCATTTGTATGAAATTTTAGAAAAGGCAAAACTATATTCACAGAAGGCAGATTAGTGCTTGCCAAGAACAATGGGAGAAAGGAAGACTTGAGTGCAAGGGTCTTCCAGGAAACTTTTAGGGCGAGGGAACGTTCTATATCTTGATTCTGACATTGGCTAGACAACTGTATACAATTACCGAATTCTCCACTGTGCAGGTAGAATTTTTGAATTGAAAACAAACAAGCAAGCAAAGATAATTGCTTCTGTAAGTTCTACGGGCAGCTGAGAAGAATACATAGTCTCTGTTTGCAAGGTAGAAACTATACACACATACACACACTTGATTATTAATAACACAAATTCTCTTTCTTGAGTATTCAATTAGAAGAGGTTTTAAAGAGTTATACTGTTAAAAAGAAAAAAAAAAAAAGAAAAAAGAATGAAAAAGCACCATCTTTAGCGCCCTACCGAACTAGAGTAGGTCAAGGCAAAAACTTTATGAAGCAGGAAGTTTCCACACAAACATCTCATAATTCCTCATAAATATTTAATTTTCAAACTAAAATTAAAAGAACCTGTCATCTAAGATTCAAGAAAAATAGAAATATTCCTACATACACACACACAGGTTCATCAATACCTGTTTAGAAAGAAAGAATACCAGAATACCAATAAACACATTTTTTAAAAAAAAAATTAAAATTCACAGTTTAATTCATTTATCCCACTTAAAAAGAAACAGAAAAAACAAAACCAGCTAGGGGTTCTGGATTTGGGTTCCACGTTGCCGCGGCAGGGACTCACCTCTGCGGCCGCGTCCTTGAAGCCCTCGCTGTAGGTGCTGTCGGGCGTGCTGCGCTGGTCGTCCTTGAGGTAGGCGCTGTGCGCGGCCATGGAGGGCACGTCGTACTGCGACTGTTCGAAGATGACCACACGTTGCTCCTCCCCGTCTCCCCGGGGATAGTGCACAGGAGGGGCCATGAAAACCGGCGTGAAATCTTCAGCCTTCACCACGGTGATCCCCGACACGGGGATGATGGCCGGACTCTCGGGGACGCTGGCGCTGTACTGTTCCCGCTTGGAATTCTCCAGGTGGTCTTGATTTAGGGAAAGGTTCACTGGAACAGTCTTTAGGACCTGCACTCGGTTTTCTCCTCCACTCAGATTACTCTGGGCTTCACTGGTGCCGAGACAGTTTCTGTGTGTTCAAACCCACCCCCCCCGTAACATGATAAAATTAGAAAAATCACCATTTTGCAACTCTTAATAAAATAACCAATGCAGACAGTAATCAGTGGATGCTAATGCCATCAGGAGAAAGGGCATGGCTAACCTTGCAATGGAATGCAGCGGATCTTTGCGCCACTACAAGGACAAATGCAATGTGAAGTACTCAGCTCCACTGTAATTTTATTTTTATTGTCAAAAAAAAAAAAATTGACCCTAAATCTAATCAAACCTTTAGATCTCACTTTCAGCTCTCGAGAAATACAAGAGGTGAAAGAATGATTTAAACAACATGAAAAAGAAGCAATCAGAACGTGGCACACCTTCCTGACCTAAATGTGTCAATAAATCAAAGGCATGAAAAAAGGAGGAAGGGTGGGAGGATTGTTCTAGATTAAAAGAGATTTAAAAGTCATAACAATCAAATATGATGAGTAGATCGTGTATGGATCCTAAGTTGAACAAGCCAAAGAGGCATATATGAAGTACTGGGATTTTGGAGGCAATTAAATATGGACTGGGAGTTAGGTGGTATTAAGGAAGTATTGTTAATTTAGTTAAGGGTGATAACGATTTTGAGCTTATATAATAAAATGTCCTTCTTTTTTAGAGATACAAATCGGAAGTAGTTAGAGGTGAGTTGACATGATGACAGGGATTTATTTTAAATACTATTGCAATTTTTAAAAAGAAAGAAAAGGAAAGAGAAGGCTGGGCACGGTGGCTTATACCTGTAACCCTAGCACTCTGGGAAGCCAAGGTGGGAGGATAGCTTAAGGCCAGGAGTTCAAGACCAGCCTCAGCAAGAACAAGACCCCCGTCTGTACAAAAAATAGAAGTACTAGCCAGGCATAGTGGCGCGTGCCTGTAGTCCCAGCTACTCAGGAGGATGAGGCAGGAGGATGGCTCAAGCCCAGGAGTTTAAGGTTGCAGTGACCTATGGTGATGCCACTGCACTCTAGCCCTGGTGACAGAGCAAGACCCTGTCTCAAAAATAAATAAATGAATGAATGAATGAATAAATAAATTTTAAAAATTAAAGAAGAAAGGGAAAGAGAAACGGTTGATATCAAGCGGGTGTGACAAAAATTTACTATTGCTCAACTGCAGAATGGGATAGGTTATTTGGGAGTTCATTTACTATCCTCTGTACTTCTGTATATGCTTGAAAACTTTCAAAAGAAAAAATTTTTAAATACCAAAAAAAAAAAAAAAAAAAGACAGGAGGAAGACAAATGTGGTAATTTGAAGGAAGAAGGAGTAGGGAGGATCATTTTCACCATTCTACAGGCTAAACTCTTTAAAGGAGAAATAAAATAATGAGAATTTATCATTAAAATAGTTTTGCCAAATTGAGAAATAACATGAGCTCATTGATATCCTTAGCACTGAATTCCTTTTGGGGCATAAGGAAGTAGTGTAGCTGGGTTTATGGTGAAACAAGATCCAGATCTCAGACCTCCTGGCTGGTAAGGAGAGAAAGGAGAGTGCTTAGAAAATTAACTCTTGCCAGACTAGGATGAAATACTTTCATTTATACTAAAGAATTCTGGGAGAGAGCAGAGGCAAAGAGGAACTCATTAACAGGAGATTGTTGTTGACAGCAAAGTGATTTTACTAGCAAAGTCCTTCTGGACAGTAAAATTTGAGGGCCACCTCTCACTTACTTATGGATTATTCTGACTAATATGGAAAGAAAATACATATTTTGCATGGGTCTCCATCTCAGATGTCTGGATTTTTTGTTTGTTTTTGTTTTTTATCTAGAATGTGCTTTCTGGGGCTGACTAGCATCTCTCATTGAAATATTCAAATAAAATTGGTTCTTCCAAGAATTAGGCTCTCTGGCTCCTCTCTGTAAAGAAGGAAGTCTGTTAGCCTCTGATCTTACCAAACTATCAAGCAGGACTTGATAATTTTACCTTTGATTTTTCAAATGAAACTTCAAAGTAAAGCTTGAAAAAAGAATGGTCCCACATGAACAAAGCCAACAGAAAAAATATCTAAACTTCTGAGTCTGTCACAGATCTGTAGGAATAATTCCAGAAGATAGTCCTCTAAGGAATAAAATCACAAGTCTACAAACTTTCTGGCTTTATGTAATGACCTGTTTTCATGGTTAAATCAGTAGAGCAAACCTGTATATAAGACACAGTGAAAATTTTAAAATTATATTTAATATGAATCCAGTTAGCTGGAGGATGCCAAAACCCGGACCACCCATTCACATTAGCATTTCCTAACCCCATTGTTTACTGTGGGCCCCCCTGAAACCCACCCACCCTGAAAAATTGTCTTCCATGAAATTTAGGAACAGCAGGAGGTGAGCGGCAGCAGGCGAGCAAAGCTTTGGCTGTATTTACAGCCACTCCCCATCGTTCACATCATCCCCTGAAAAATTGTCTTCCATGAAACTAGTCCCTGGTGCCAAAAAGGTTGGGGACCACTGGTTTAGAACATTGCATGGAATGTTAATAGATATTCCTCAAAGAAAAAAAAAGGAGTCCATGATAAAATCAGTATTAAAAACAAACAAACAAAATTACCATAACAAGACCACCCGAGTGGGTCACAAACATCGTGAATACGTAGAGGTCCTCCAGCATTCCTCTACCTGTTAAATTGAAATCTAGAATTTCCCAAATTCATTTCACCTGGACCTTTTTGTGGAGGAATAACCATTAATACTTGTGGATAACATTGCCAAAATATTCAAAGTTAACCAACTTCTCTGTAGTTAGAGTCTATTTGGGGTCAAATTTCTTTTTTCATTCACATTCATTCATTTTTTTATAGACAGGGTATTGCTCTGTCACCCAGGCTGGAGTGCAGTGCTATAATGATAGCTCACTGTAGCCTCAAATTCCTGGGCTCGGGCAATCCTCCCACCCCAGCCTCCCCAAATAGCTAGGACTACAGGCACAAGGCACCACACTCAGTTCCTTTTTTAAAATTTTTGTATAGACAGGGTCTCAGTATGTTGCCCACGCTGGTCTCGAACTCCTGGGCTCAAACAACCATCCTGCCTTGGCCTCCCAAAGTGCTGGGATTATAAGCATGACCCACCACACCTGGCTAGGCTAAATTTCTTAATTGTTTAACTCATGCAAAACATATGAATTCTAAACAAAGAACATGTTGAAATATTTTTTCGTATTCTTATAAACAAAACATAAGCAAGATTGTTTAAATCTAGTCAAATTGTTATTACCATGTCACCAGAAAATAACATCTAGATTCAGCACCACCCTAAAATGTGTAACTATTCCTCTATAAAACAATATTAACTTTAGAAGCTAAAGCCAGAGAACTTCACAAAGACATTCAAAAGTGGATAATTAGAAAAAGAATTATTGTGAGATACTGACTTATCTATAATAGAATTTAAAATTGAACCAAATATAAAATAAGAGAAAATGTGATAATAATGATGGTGCATTAAATACATTTTTTAAAAAATTTGGATTATGTCATTGGTTCTGTTATTTTTCCAAGTTGCAACTTCTGCATATAAACAGTTGTCATGATATCATGCTAGCACATGGCATCTTAATTCATGAATACACTGCAGATCAAAATGACATTCTTCCAAATTATGTTCAATGGGAAGTCCAAGTCATAATTAGTCTGTACGAGGTAGTTTAGTCTATACTTCACTGCCAGTTTTTTAAAAGGTATTCTATGGAACTCACAAAAATAACCATTAAAACAGAATGAGCAACTGTCACTTTGTAATGTTGTTTTAAAAGAGGCTTGAACAAAACACGGCCTCTCTTGTGTGTGATGTATACCGTAGACAGAGCACAGAGCTTAGATTCATTTTGCCCTGAACCCACTATAATTATGGGTATAGGATTTAGCAGACAGCACAAGCTTAGCTCAATAAAATTGGCTGGATGGAGGAGAAGTTATGGGACTTGAAGAGTGTCAGCCTCTTCCTCTCTGTCATCACTCCTGCCAGTGAGGTCCTGGGACCCCAGGGCAGCGTGGAGCTTCAGAAGATCCCTAATGGAGCAGTGACTCGGATGCAGATAACCTCAGTCTTCTGCTGGGGCTGTACCCTGGAGGTGCTGCACAGCCAGGGCTGCTGGTTGGAAGAGTGTCCCCCACTGCTGGTCACAGAACAAGATCATAATGTCATAAGCAGTTCCTATCAAGGCCAGGTAAGATTCTGACTAATGTATGTGCTAGCATGGAGTTTTATTTCTCTGGACTTCATATTTCCATATGAAAGAACCTTCAACAGAAAAACACCTTGGCTTCTCTCCACCCTACTGCAGAAGAACAGATTTACTGATGGGTGAGTTTGGGAGAAATAGCTGAACAGGGTGGTTCAGCCCCTTCTGGTCTCCTCTTTTTGTCTGGATCATCCTGGCCAAAAGCAGGAGACCCACTCTCTTGTCACCCTTGCTGTGCCACAAATGGTGCAAAGTCCTACCTGGGACTGGATGGGGGTACTTACTTAAGTCAGGACTGAAATGTTACAAGCTGCAGATTCCAAGTCACATTCTCCAATTGGCTTCAGCAGAAATAAAGCTGAGTTTTTTTTAATTTTTTAAACTCAATTTATCTGACTGTGTCTTGCTTTTCGCCTGGTTCTTATGCAATGATCTTCTGCCATCCTTCCTGCCCTGCACCTCTACAGTGCTCACAGACCTCCACCAGCTGCCTCCCTCGGCCGGGAAACAGCCCGCCCTCCTTCCTTTCCCCCTCATCAAAAGCAATCCTTCAAGGGTCCCACTCCTTCGAGGGCCTGACTGCAGCTATAAAGCCATGGGATTGATCAGAAAAGTCAATCCCGGCAGTGGGCTGTCGTGCCAGCCTATCTCCTCTAACTCAGCCTTGTCAGCCTCGTCGGAAGACAGTGTCTGAACAGCCTGCTGATGACCCTGTGGATGCACAACCAAAACATGCATTTGCTCTCCACATTAAAAAACACAGACAAAGAGTTACTGGGGGACCGGGCATATTCCTTTACCTACACCATACCTTTTATCCTGGTCTTCTTGGCTGTCACTTGCTTTGCTTACAGACAGCAGCCTCTTGTCTCGAGGAACCTGGAACATCACCAACCATCAGTCAGACTTACATAGATGCAACTGTGACCATGCTCAGAACTAGACAGCAACATAAGCAAAGAAACCAAAATGGAATGTTCTCCAGGAAAAGGTGGGGAATTTGCTATCACCAGAAGATGGTTAAAGGTGAGCAGCCTGAGTGACAGTGACTGTGGAGCCACAGGCAAAGGGATGGTGACAAACGTAAGGCCACAAGAGACAGGACTCGGCTGCTCACTGCTTGACCTGGGTGATTTCCCCCGCACCCAAGCCCCTCCCGTGCTCTCCCCACCTTGGGAAAGGGTGAGGGGAAGGGAGCAATGTGTGGAGGTGAATCTGGACATGGTGCCTCTGAGCAAAGCATTGTGGAGTTATAGCAGGTGTCCTGTTAAGGAACAGGGACTGCCCCTCCTCTCTGATGAGGGACTCCAGTGCTGACAGGGGGTGGCAGGATGGGCATGGAGCCCCATGGCAGTGAGGGACAAGCATCAAGTACACTAGCACCATGTTTCGTCCCCTCCCTACACTACTTGGGGACTTGCTTCCACAATTTTTTTTCCAGTACACTTTCATTATTGTCTTAGCAACCATAATGTCAACATATTACCCGAAAGATTATTGAGAGAAGGGACACCCCACAGGCTGTACTTCTGACCATGATCTAATCGCCCTCCTGCATCACGGATCCTTCACTGTGCCGTGGTGTTCAAACACATGAAGAAGGAGGCTCGGATTTGTTTGTCTGATTGGATTCTTTGTTTATTTTTGATTTTTTGCTAAATGTAAATATTTTCCTTCTAGCCCAACTCCTTTAGACCCCAAAATGCAGCCTTCACTCTTTTTATCTGAAAGCACTTTCATGAGAAGCATCCCTCTCCTGGACTCTAGCAATTCCTATGGCTTCCACTGCCCTGGATATGCACACAAGCCCGGACAGCTGGACTAGGCAGGGGACAGAGCGAGGTGGATTCATCCAGACCTACAGCCTGCTTGCCCGGGTTCAAACCTCAGCTCTACCACTCCCTAAACTCTGTCCCACTTTCCTCGTCTGTAAAATGGGCATCATGATAGCCCCATATTTCAAAAGATTTCAGTAAAATTAAATGAGTTAACATTTTTAAAGTACTTAGAGTGTCTGTCTTGTACTTTATATTTGTTAAATACAAATAAATCAATTGTAAGTCCTTCATTCATGTCAACTTTGAGAGTCTACAATATGAGGCATTGCTAAGTGCCAGATAGAAATGAGGTAAATAAAACATAGTTCCCATCATCTGTTGAAGATGACAGATAAACATAAAATTTCAGTACCCACTGCACCCATGTTCACTGCAGCATTATTGACAATAGCCCGAAGGAAGAAATAACCCAAGCGGCTATCAGCAGATGAGTGGATAACCAAAATGTGGCCTGGCCATACAATGGAGTATTATTCAGCCTTACAAGGGAGTGAAATTCTGATACACGCTGTAATATGGGTGGACTTTGAAGACATTATGCCGAAAAAAAGGACCCAGACACAAAAGGACAAATACTGTATGATTCCACTGACAGGAGGTACCCAGAATAGTCACATTCCTAGAGACAGAGGTGGGATATAGATTCCAAGGGCTGGGAGGAGGCGGAAAGGGGCGTTATTATTTAATGGGCTTCTGTCTGAGAAAATGAAGACGTTCTGGAGGTGGATGATGGTGATGGTGGCACAGCAATGTGAATAGACGTAATGCCACAGAACTGTACACATAAAAATGGTTAAAGTGGTAAATTTTATGTTATGGATCTTGTACCACAATTTTTTTAAAAGGTGATAAGGAGGAAGTGAGTTTCTAAGGAGAAGACCGTGTCTCCCAGCTCTGCCGGCTGCTGAGCTGGAGCTTCCTCACACTGCTCCCCCCCACCAGGGGGCACTTGGCTCCTCTCCTAAAATATAGTTAGTCCTAATAGCGTATAAAAAACGAGTACCCAGTGACATGAGGTAAAACGGAGCTGCGTACGGAGCCCTCTGGGAGACTTGAGGACAGAGCTCCCCAGAGGAACTGAGCCATGGGTAGGAATTGGCAAGTGGATGGAGAAGGCTTTCTAGCCTCGGAAGCTGCCCATAGAAAGGCTTGAGGGGAGGACAGTATGAGGAAGGCGTGGCCAGTGCAAGGAAGGAGTAGGGCAGATGTGGCCTCCGAGATGAGCAAAAGCCAGGTGAGAAGGGCCTTGAACCAGAAACGGATGTTTTGCTTCCTAACGGTTCCTCTAAAATGCCGTGTGCTGTGGCACAGCACCTTCTCCGTGACTGCCAAGCATCCCTCACCCTCTCCCCTTCCAACCAGAATCCCCTGTGTCCCTGAAATCCATCCACTGCCCCTGGACTCCAGATTCCAGGTCCAGCCCCCAGCATCTCTTGCCTGGGCTGCTGCAGCAGCAAATCCTTTCTGGATCCATTAAGAAGATCCAGAGTGGTCTTCTTAGAAATGCAAGTCTGCTACTCAAAACTCTTCAATGCTTCCCATCACTCTCAGTCACGTCACCTTCAAAAAGTCTCCAGCCTCAACGTGGGCACCCTGGGACTTGCTTACCACACTTGGGCCACGCTGTATTGATGACCACGCAGTGCTCCTCTCACAACAGAGCCACCACACCAAGTCCTCTCTGCCTAGACCGCAACCCACCACCCCCTGCCACCACCACCCATGCCTTCCCCAGGCAGACTCGCAACCATACTTCGAGTCCCATATAAATTTCTGTGTCCATGATAAGACTCCACGAGCATTACCTTGTGCATGGTTATGTCCCGAGGGCCCTTCCTAAATACTTACTGGAAGAATGAATGAATCAATAGAAATAGCTTGGAAAAGGCAGAACCAAAGAAACAGAAGAAACTACAACATGTTAGCAGCTCCCCAGGATGCATGGAAGTGAATGCTATTGTTGCCAGGAGTCACCAAGGAGAGCTTTGAGCAGATGACTGTGCTCAGTCTACAGCGTTGGGTACAACATGATGAGGTGGTTGTTAATATTTGGGTTTGCTCCAATCGGGGCCTCTCTGAACAGTGTTTACCTTTTGCTTTGCAGACTGTCTTTAGAGGAACTGAGACCTCTGAACTCAATCCCCTCTCGAGTCCTGGACCCACAGTACTGTCTATCGGATATCCCTACCTGGACATCCTACCAGCACATCAAACTCAACTCATAATCATCTTTCTCCTCAAAAGCCTTTCTTCTGCGCTCCCTACCATGAATAATCCAGGAATTATCTTAGGCATCTACCTCCTAGTTATGAGCTCCCCTCACCAACTCTCTCTGTCTCTCTCTCTCTCTCTCTCACACACATACACACACACACACACACACACACACACACACACACAAAATCAGCTGCTAGCTCTAATTCAAACAAATGCTTAATGATTTCCTGAACACACTGCTTGTCTCTGTTTAGCACCTGTTTGGGTGGCTGATCTAGGGAGAACTCTCACAAATGCTGACTCAGAGAATCCCAGCACCATGTTCATACTTCAGGTCTTCATCATTTTTTTATCTGGACTATTGCAGTCGACTTCTTGCTGGACTCTTTGCTACCAACCTACCTTTCTATTGTTGTTGCTGCTGCTATAATATGTATGGATAATTTCTCCAATCTACAAGGCCTAGGTTCCAAATCCTCCAGTATGAGAGGAAACGATGCCAAGTATTATGATAAAAGGATTACAGGCATTTCATTTTCTTCTTTAAGCTTTCCTGCATTTTCTGTAATAGACTTGTATAAACTTAAAATGAAAAGCTGATATGTCAAAACATCAACTGCTTACCTTAAAAACATACAATGCCTATTTGTCAATAATACGTCAATAAATCTGGAAAATAGACAAATAGAAAAGCTGATTTTTTAAAAAATTTAACAACTTATGAGAATTTATCAGGTCATTTGTTCATTCATCCTGCAAAAAGCAAAAACCATGCACCTAGCTCTGGACTCCCCTCTGTGAGAACAGAGCCCAGGCCTCCATCCTGGCCTAGCAAGACTCTTCAGGGGGATGAATATATGGATGGACAAACAAATCAACCAACAGACTGGTTTCCAGCAGCCCTGGGTCATCACAACAGATAGGGACCAACTGACCAGGGAAGCATGTTTTCACTACAGCTGGAATCAGATGACTACAAACCACCAGCTCTCTCCAGAGAAAAATAAAATTAGATAAAACAAGTCAAACCACTTTTAAAAATATCTAGCTAATTAAATCTCATGTTTTTCTGTCATGCCTGAAATTCATGGAAAGGTCACATGACTTTGGAGCTTCTATTGGTAAGTATTATAACTTAAACTAGATAGAGAATTAGGCTAGGGTTTGAGTCCCTTATGAGAGATTCCATTGGGATATTTTTAAAATAAACATCATTTAATTAGTAAACAACATATTAATCTTCAAAATCTTTAAAAATTTGAATTTATTTTTAAATAGGTTCAAAAAAGGGCATTTTTTAAAATGGTAGACATTGTAATGCAATGGATATTACGAAACATACGGGATTGTCCTGTGATCTTGGGTAAATCCCACTCAGTTGCCTGAACTATACAATTTAAAATCCGATAGTCCTCACTGCAATGATCCTATGGTGACAGTAAAAAAAATGTAAGTGAAAAGACATTGAAATGTATAAAGCATTATCCAAAGGTATGTCTTTGCCAGTTCCAAGGACAAGGACCATTTTTCTTGAGTGCCTATTTGTGTCACATGGACGCCTCTCTCTGGGCAGAACCCACTACTGTCCCCTCAGAGGGAAAACAGTGTCTTCAACAAAAAGAATCAATTCGCATTTCCGAAGAGGCATAAAGTCTACAAAATCTAAATAATAATGTGACAGCAAGTGTTACAATAATTTAACTTCCCAAAGTTTATACTCAAAAGCCAAAATTGCTTTTTTTTCATTAACATTTCACTTTACTACAGAAAAAAGGTCTAGTCTCAAAGGACATTTAACTTTGTTATCACTTTAACACCAGCATATATAAACTGTGAACATCCAGGGAACTCAAAAGGGCCTCAAAATGATTATTTAAACATACAGTTTTGGAAACAAGACTCTTCCTACAAACAATAAAATGTTTCAAGCAAAAATACAGCAAATGTGTGAAATTTGTGTGAAATGAAAGAAGCCATGTAACTCTACCAGTACACACAGTCTTGAAAAATATTAACTCGACAGAGTCATAAACATGGCTACAACTTGAGTTTTATGCAAGCTCCCTACCCTGCATCTCAAAATATTTACAGAAAACAATATTTCAGCTTTCTTTAAATATCAGTAAATGTGCAAGAGGTAAGGTGATCTAGGTATGACATTTACTAACACCTAATTATCCATGTTTACTAACTAATACTTAATTGTCTTCTGAACCTGTGGGAGATAAAATACATTGCCTTCATAAATCACTAATTATGTTTGTCTTGGGTTATGCTTCTCTTTTTCACTAATACAAAAAATATTGCCATCAAATAAATACAGATATGTGAAATTATATCCATTTTACAATAACAGAATAAAATCTATTTTTAAAGAATTAGAACAATGTATTTCTTCTAAATATAATCAATATATTTCTTCAAAGCCTTATTAAAACTATTAATTGACATATTAATTTAACACTATAAAAGTGACAAAAAGAAGTTGTAATGATCTGACTAATTAAACTCAGGGCCACTTTAATGATGTGTTTATAGATTTTAAAGATCAATAAAACTGTCAGGCTTTGCCTATTTTTTATCATGAAGGAAAATTGCTTTTCAATTTCATTCTAAGGATGAGACATAAAAAAGTTGAACCCTCGAGGAGTGGCCTAGTACACGAAGCAGTCTAATTTGATGAGTTCTGTGCTTCTGTACCATCCTCAATAAATTTTGAATTTTTTCACTCCAAAACATTTAGATTTATCCTTGTGTTTCAAGGATAGATCCTAACCACAGACAGAAAAGAAGAAAGAAAAGCCTACCATAAAACCATTTTGGTTTTCAGACTTTTTTCGTTTTTCAGGTGTTGCCCCTTCACTGTAGAGAAAACAGCCCTACTTACATGAAATGAATTTAGACCCTAAAACAACATTTCATCTGGAGCCCAAGTCCCCCAAAATTAAGGCCTCCTTACTATGTCAGGAGACTTGTTGGGAATTTTACACCTTCGTAAGACGGCTGTCAAAATCTGCCACCTCTGGCTCTCTTAAGTCAGCCTGGACTGACAAGGGTACCAGTGGAACACACTGCCTGTATTTCTCCAGCACTTTCTAACAATAAGAGATGTGCCTATTTGAGTTAATAATCTCTCATTTTAAATAAGCCTGGATGGGCCTACCTGTCAGTCCCTGGCACCTGTCACTCAGACCTTGCTCTGCATCTTAGATAAGGCCCAGCTTTGTTTTCATTTATCTCCCCAAGGAAGGAGCTCTCCTGGGTGTTTTAATGGGAAAGAAGCTGGAAAAGGAATGAGTAATTTTAGAAAACTTGGCAGAAGAGTGGGCCTGGGGACAGTGCCAGAATTGGTGGTGGTGGGAGATCTTTTGAGAGCATGACAAATCTAATTTAGGAGAGAGAAAGGAGACAGACAACAAGGCTTGCAAAGTTAAGGCTGCTGGAAGGAAATAGAAAGTAGGAAGCTGGAAGGAAACAGGAAGCTGAGACTAAAGATTACTAAAAGGAAAACTGTTCCTCCTGTGTGGTTTTGCCCAAAGCTCTGATTTTTTCATGATGGAGGAGAAGGGGAGGTAGGATTCTGTTCTTATTCTAAAATAAGAGTTCATTGTGCCCAACCAGCAAAATAAACACAGTCATTATCACCTTTGTGCCAATTCCCAGGGTAAGCCAAAGGTGTTTACAATCAAAGCAGACAATAAATCTCCTCATTTAGTACATATTTGTTGATTTTTCACACTTCAGCATTCAAAGAGAGCAGGTCCTACCAGGTATAGTTCCTTATGCTTGAGACAGACCATTGTTTCTTGTTGGATTTCCTGAAATGCTCCTATTTTATAAGGACTGTATGGCAGGTACTTTTTGTAATGTAAGTGAATTACATTTATTCTACTTCAAGAGTTTTTCAAAATAAAAATTTAGTACCCATTGAAACAAATGGAAATGTTTAGAGTAATAACAAAATTAGGTTTTGAAATTGCTGCAAAAGTCTTCCATGAAAGGGTTCATCGAGATAATGCTTATAAAACTGAAAAACCAAAAAATCTAGAAACCCTGTTTCTTATAAAACTGAAAAATCTAGAGGCCGCCAAAATGCTCGACTGAGCAATAACTAAATTATGATATAGCCACACAATGTAATATACTTCATTCACCAAAAATCATAATCATAAAGTTAAAAACAGCAGCAAAGAAGTATTTGTAATATATTGTTAAGTAAGAATAATATGTAAATATTTACTCATGTGAACAAAGGACACAAAAATAATTATCCCAAAATGAGCACTTTCTTTGGGTGGAGGTGAGGCTGGGCTTCATAGATGGGAAGGCAGGAAGGCAATGAGAACAGGAAGAGGCTGAATTCCACATCAAGTTTGAAAATACTATAAGCTCCCTGGCCCAGGACAATGAATCTGGCGGCTCTTCCCACCAGCAAGGGGAAGCCCTGGGACAGGGCGAGGAGGGAGGCAGGGCTGCGGGACCTACCTTGTAGTAGTCGTAGAGCAGGCCGAGGGCAGCAGCACTGTCCTCGTCACCATTGATGCTCATCATCGCCTTGGTGGCTGCTGTCAAGGGATTCTCCAAGTATGACTTCCAGGCTTCATCCTCACTGGTGTAGGCTCTTCGGGTATTGAACGGAGGGTCACTGGGCATGGGCACTAAGGCCACTAGTCTCTTATTGCTGTGAAAGCAAGAGAAATGTGAGGTTTGTTATAGAGAGAGCAATGTTCCTTTTTCCCACTAATAGTACACACGTTATATGGCTATAGGCATTAATTTGTGTTTCCCCAGGATAGGGGAGAAGGAAGGGAAGATTAAAGCTAAAGTGACTGCCATTGATTTATTTTTTAACTGTTCATGAGAAGCAATAATGTCCTTAAAGGGCAGTATAAAGTAGTGTTAGTTGGTGTTATAGTTTGAATATTTGTCCCCTCCAAAACTTGCGTTGAAATTTAATTGACATTGTGATGGTATTGGGAGGTGGAGCCTTTAAGAAGTGTTTAGGCCATGAATGGATTTATGTTGTTATTGCAGGAGTGGGCTTGTTATGACTGGAGTGAGTTCACCCCTTCTTGCTCTCTCTCTATCTTGCCTTCTCTTTACCCTTCCCCCTTCCACCTTTTGTCATATGCAGCAACAAGGCCCTTGTCAGATTGTGGCCCCTCCATCCTGCACTTCCCCACCTCCAGAACTGTGAACCTATGAATTTCTGTTCATTACAAATTACCCAGTCTCAGGTATTAGCACAAAACTGACTGAGATTCTTCAAACTTGGTGCTCCATATCCAATCATTCTAGGGGCCAAGCAACTTTACTTAATTATTCCTTATTAATGCATACTAGAATGGAACCCTGTGAGAGAGCAGGTTTCATTTAATTCTCTGAGTTCTAATTATAAATACGTGCAATACATTAAACCTGATCAATACACTAATGATTATTAAAAACAATTTTATCTAATTTAATCTTTACTTGAAATTGCTAGCAAATTATAGACCAATACAAGTCTCTTAATTAAAATGGCAATATAAGCTACTTTGCAAACACAAGATATTACAGTCAATGCTGTGTAATGAGGACATGGAGCAACAGTAACTCTATAATATTCAGATGACATAAAGACCACCATGGGGAGTAAGGAGTAAATCTGGGGAGTTTTCAATAGAGACAGAAAGGGGCTGGAGTTGGTCCATCCTAACCAAGCCAACCTTGCATAAAGCAGCAATTGACAAATGAGGCAATGTCTTAAGGTGGGTGTGATCATGACCCAAATACCCAAAGACCATACCAGTCCTTAGTAGCTCCCCATACTGGGACCTCAGCTGTCAAGTAAAATAGCCTGGGGACGCTTTGTCACTCATCCCTTGGCCCTCTTTTGCTTGCTCAATGAAATGGAACCAAAAATGAAACAACGAGACATTATATTTCAGTAACACCTATGTCTGCACATAGTAACATGGCATGGACAAGTGACAGGGCTGGCGAAGACAACACCAACATTAATGAATAGAAATTCAGCCACCAGGGCCTTCTGATGTTTACGCAGTCATAAGAGGTCCCTTTTTGCTGACACTCCTACAGGATCTTCCCGTGGTAGGTGGCCCCTCAGCTCACTTTGTGATGGACAGCTGGTGTGAACCCACAGCGCAGAGTGTATTGAGGGCCCCTGATGTGCTGGCATGGGGCTAAGCATTGGTGTAGGGTCAGAAAAGGACATTGACATTGGTAAAATATATTTGGGGATGTGGTGGATAGGAAATACACATTTAGCAGCGTGAAATTCAGGGCTCCATGGTCACTAGGCCTCTGATTTGTGCTCTTTGTACCAATGGTTCAGTCGAACTGACTGGGAGGAAAAAGAGAATATTGACCCAATAGCCAATGAATTGGATTAAAAGAGTATAGTCAGATCTCTTGGAGTAAATGAGAAAAGCCCTGGTTGAAGGGCTTACTGATCATTAGGCACTACGGTGACATGGAGTAGCGTAGGCCCGACACTTACAGCAGTGGAAAGCCGGGTAGAGTCTGTGCTTCAGCTTCCCCTGCCTTAAACAGGGCTAGCAACGCCCACCCTACTTACTGCACAATGTCATTGTGAGGATCAAATAATATAATGGATAAATACGTTCTGTAAACTGCACAGTGCTATGCAAATAACAGGCATTATTTGTATAGCTCTATGTTCCTGTGAAGTTTATGGGTATATCAATTTTTGGTAAAGTTGATTATCATTTTAAAAGTCCTCAAGATAATCATTAATTAAAGGGAAACTGCAGTTGTTCATTTGGTAATATTCCATAATTACTTATTGAGAGTCCAGTAGGTGCTGGACATGGTGCTGGTTGTTGAGGTTGGAGAGGTGCTTCAGACACTGTCCCTTGCCCCACTCAGCCTGCAGGAGGGAGAGAGTACTGCCATTACAAGGGCTGCGAGCGTGAGAAAGGGATGGACAATGTCCTGAGGGCATATAACAAAGGGGATCAACGTAATCGGAGGACTAAGGAGGAGTCAAAGATTCTACACAGATCTGCAGGATAGGTAGGGCTGTGCTGGTTAATGTTGAGATGGGCAGGTGTGGTAAATATTTTTTAAAGTGAAGAATATTTTGGTAGTGCAGAATAATGGAATTTTCTTATAAAAGAAGCATAAGTGTATTCATTTTGGAGACTCCACTAAAGAAATTTTCCATATTTTATCTAACAATAAAACAGCTTTTCCATGTTGTAGAAAATTTCTAAATATATAGGATAGGGTTGGATTTAGAGACAGGAAATGTCAGTGGACTCCTAAGGGTCCAAAAGCAGAAGAAATGGTTCCTCTGGGGAGAACTAAGAAGACAGAGGTGGCGGGCCCAGGTTGTAACAATGTCACCCTCCCCACAGTTGATTAGTTGGGGCCATGCCAGGTGCCTGGTCACTCAGAGAGCAAAACAAAGGATTCTAAACCCCAATCATTGAGAAGCACATACTGCTGTGGCGGAGTGAAGAGTGGGAAGTGGAGTGGGGTGTTGGTTACAACACTGGCTACTTTCCAAAAGTTTAGCAGGAAGCACCACGCTGAAGGAGCAGAGTCTTGATTTACACCAAGCAGTGTTCTGAGTCGCTGCAGAGACTTTTCCCGGAGTCTTCCTTCTTAAAATCCTGACTCCCTCCTGCTGAGTCTCCTAGACTGCTGATTTCATCTGTTCCTAGCACAAATGTCCACTCATAAATTTAAGAGATTCATCAGCCTTTTCCCTATAATGAAATTGTTGATGAATCCTTACATGATCAACAAAAAAAATATTCTGGGAAATCACAATTTTACACTTCTGGTGCCCAAAGGGGTCTTTTGTGCTCTTCCTTTTAACCACGCAATGACTTTGGTTTTTTTCTTCATAGATTATAATCTCTTCGGTACAGGGCACTGTTGAATGAAGTTTGGTTTAATAAAAACAGAGTAATCTCTCTGGTACACTGAGCAAAAATGTAGATTTGTAAAGAAAGGAAAGTTTTACAGAGCAGCTTTACCACAGTCAGGAACACTCTGAAGTTGAATTTTATCATCTTGCTTTTGAAACAGCAATTCTAATTCTGCTCTGGGTAACTTTTTAAAAATATTCTTTGTGAAGCTTTAGGTATGCTATGTTCTGGGTAACCCTGAACACAGAACAGTAAACACAACCACAAACTTGATCTCTGGGTCCTTGTTTGGAGAGTAATTTCGTTGAGTTCCAGAGCAATCACAGCAAGGCCAAGGCCATGTTAGATCACACAGCCAACTTTTTTTCCTTGCTTATTTTCTTTAATCCATGACTTCATTCTGTGGATGTTGGAAGGATAGGGGAGAGATGGGTCATCTCCCAAAATAGTGAAAGAGATGGAGCAGCCTGTGATTGAGACCGTGACCAACGCAGCAGCAAGGCTGCAGATCGTGCAGCAGGAGCTGCTCACCTCCCCTCACCCCCAAGCACTAATAGGAGTCTAATGCAGGGAATGCTTCACTGGGGAGAAGCAGAGGGAACTAGCACACGTTTTTACCTTCTCAAAATATGTGTCATGATGGTCAACAAATCCAGACACAAATCCACTCATAAAAGACACTTGGGGCCCAAAACAAAAAGTAGGACAGCGAAGCATTCATGCAAATTATCACTTCTAATCAATTTCTCATCACCCATGCCTTTTATAACTCCTACAAGAGCATTGATTTGTTTTTGTTTTGTTTTTTGTTTGTTTTTGTTTTATGGAGTTTTTAATACAGAAGAAGGATGGTTTTGGAGTTGAGTAACTTTAGTTAAAATCTCAGCTTCATCAATTAGTGAATTTAGATGAGTTACTTTACCTCCTTGAGCTTCAGCGTCTTCGTCTGTATCATGATATCTATCTTCTTGCATTGCTTTAAAGGAATAACTCAGATATTTATATTCAAAGTGCCCAGTACATTGCAGATCTTCAATAGATAGTGGTCAGAAATAGTACTTTGGTAGAAACAAATTCTACCAATGACCTTTGCTCAAAATCCAATGGACTGTTCTCAGTTCTTAACCTCCTTGAGCTGTCCTGGCCATTTCTGGCTCCTGTAAAATTTTGCTTTGCCTGGCTTCCAAGACACTGTGCTAAGGTGGTTCTCCTCCTCTTTAGCCAACCACTCTTTCCTAATTTCTATTCTGCCTGAACTCTCCTCTTCTCTTATTCCTCTAACTCTGATTATTCCTTGGCCCTTTGCTCTTTTCTCTCCACTTTTGATTTTTAGTGCTTTCATTGCTCTACTTTAATAACTAACAGATATGTATTCCTGGAGAGCCAGTTCCATATTTCTATTTAGATGTCCCATTGTCCATTTAAATTCACTGTATTCAACACTAAGCTAACATTTGCCAATCACCATTTCTCAACGGAGTGATCCCCACCATCAAGCACCCCCAGTGACCCAGAGCCAAATCTTACGTACTGGTTTCAAACACAGACTCTGGAGCCAGACTGCCTGGGTGCACATCTTGTCTGCGCCATTTACCAGCTGTGTTACTCTGAACACGTTAGTAAACATTTCTGTGCATCAGTTTCCTCACCTATAAAATGGAGACATACTCCGAACTAGATAGAATAATAATATCCACTCCCCACTATTTTCGTCAGAATTAAAAACACTGACACAGTGTAAAGGCTGCATATGTGCTAGCTATTATTCTTTCTTTTTATC